TGCAAACTCAAGGCAGGTAATACCATGGTTTGGATTTAAACCAACAACCCTAGGGTTGCTAGGCAGAAGTGCTACCCACTCAGCCACTGTGCTGTCCAAATTATATCTGCACTCTGTTCTATCTGGATCTTTACTGCTGTCATTCTAGGGACTTATATTGAATGGGGTAGTTGTTTAGGAAGCATACAATAGGTCAGATATAATTTAGATAGAGGTTAGGAGGCAGCATTGAGACTCCTTAGGCAAATTAACAAACAAGCACTGCTCAAAGCCCTGTATATGTCACATGCTGGCTCTCATCACCACTGCTAGAAGCAGAAGCCCAAATGAAGCATGTCTTGCTCACTATCCAATCATTCAATATAGAAAAGAAGGAACTACACACCATTCATGTCAACCAAGTTTTACAAATCCAGGATCAGATCCAGCTCAATCTCCTCCCATAGACCACACCTGCTGACGCATTTTACCCCAATAGAACTTAATTCTGCAAGTCCTATTGTGGTGAAATGCACCTCAGGGGTGGGATCTAAGGGAGGAGACTGAGATAAAGCTGATTCTGGATTTGTAAGAGCTGGTTGACTTGGATGGTATACGGTCCCCTCTTTTCTACATTGAATGACTTCTTAGGAAAATTACTGTACTTTAACCACTTGCCAACCCGCCACAGTACAAACAGTATACTGCGGCGGGGCGGCAGCTACAGGCACAGCGACACTCTGGTACGTAGCTGCCTGTATCCAGGTTCCCCGCCCGCCTACTCCCACTGTGATTTAAAACACTGGGAGTTCATCAACAGATCCTAGCCAATGATTCATGGCCAGGATCTGCTAAGTGGCTGTGTCGAATCACAGCCTAGAGCCCTCTGTTGATAAACAACACAGGGCTCTATACAGAGGGAACAATCCAAACTGATGTGTAGTAAAAAGCAGTACACAGTACACACATTAGCACTTGTTAGGCACACAATTAACCCCTTGATTGCCAACTGCACTATTACAGTCCCACTCTAAGTTTTCTAATCAATGCCATTACTAGGATAAAAATTATAAATTAAAAATTACAGTAGATATGCCATAGTTTGCAGATGCTATAACTTTCACGCAAACCAATTAATATACACTTATTGGGATTTTTTTTACCAAGAACATGAAACAGAAATTAGGTTTATTTATTTTTTAAATTGGATATGTTTTATAACAGAAAGTAAAACATATTGTTTTTTTTTTTTTTAAATGTTTGGTCTTTTTTTTTTTGTTTATATAATAAAAAATAAAAAACCCAGTGGTGATCAAATACCACCAAAAGAAAGCTCTATTTGTGTAAAAAACATTATTTAAATTTGGTCTGGTCATGACGGGAGTAACATCTTCTGGAGCTCAAGTTGTTAAAGAATGGGAGTTTCAGCCTTTGGGAGATCCAAGGGCCATATTCTAAGCTGTAGGTGATGGAATCAATCATTGTTTTTACAGAAAAAAAAAAGAAAAGGTTTTACAGTTAGGCCCTGACCCCTGTGAAACCTTCAAAGCCTTTTTCTTTTTTGACTGAAGTGCCTCTGTAAATTAGGGGGATGTTCTTGCAAAGTTGCTCATAGTTAAATAAATACATCAACTGATGTTTTGTATGCTTAAAGCAGATCTATTTCTACAAGTAAATGCACAGTCCTTTGTGGACGGGCCCACAGCATAAGCAAAGTGCAATAGACTGAGAAAAAAACATGTTGTAGATTGTGAACATATACAGAAAAATGGATCCACAATACTTGTTAGTCAAAATAGGGGGGATTTACTAAAACTGGATTTACAAAATCAGGTGCATCTCTGCACAGAAACCAATCAGATTCCAGGTTTAACACCCTGGTCACATCGGGTGCGACTTGTCATGCAATTTGCATGCCATGCGACTTTCAAATTGTATGCCAAGTCGCACCCTATTGTCCGTAATTACCACGGTCAAATCAGTGCGGTTTCGACTTGGTCAGAGCCGCACTGATTTCTAAAGTAGTGCATGTACTACTTTTGGTGCAATTTGCCTAGACATCTGTGTGATGTCTTGCAAATCGCACCTGAAATCAGCATGTTACCCAACTTTGAAATCGTGCGACTTAACTCGCACGATTTCAAAGTAGGGCTTGATGTGACCAGGGGGCAGGGGCGGACTGACAACTCATGGGGCCCCCAAGCAATAGGGGATCATGGGGCCTCTGTGTCCTTGCCCAAACTCAAAAAAGCCTATGAAAAAGGTACCAGGGGCATCTCATGGGGCCCCCTACTGACCCCGGGCCCTCGGGCAGTGCCCGAGTTTCCAAATGGTCAGTCTGCCCCTGCCGGGGGGGGGGGGTTATTGTCAAAGCTTAACTAAACAAACTGAAGTTAGAAGCTAATTGGTTACTATGCACAGCTGCACCACATTCTGAGTGCACCAGTTTTAGTAAATCTCCCTCATTATGTAAGGTCATCAAGATGCATCTCCCTAATCTACCCAACCATTCCAAGGTGGACCTGGAGAGAGCTGATGAAGCAAAGTAGGCTCTGACCTAGAACAAGTATGCAGATCAGGAATTTTGTCCTTCTAATCTGCATGCTTGTCTCAGGTTAGTGATTCAGAATATTATCTTACCAAAGACAGCAAGCAGTTATTATTTTTATAATAAGGTCATCAAAGGCAGCCACTGTATTCCTGTCACTACAGGTCTCCTAAAGTATATGTAATTTTGATCACAAAAAACCTCATATAAAATGTAACATTAATATAAATTCAAATGTCTTCTTTACTAATTTAAATCTGCAGCTTTTAATAAAATAATACCTTATGATACTGCTATGTAGGTCATTGTTCAGGCATTTATAGGGCAATAACTATCTATTCCATGGTTCTCTCCCTTTCACACACTCTTTCAATGGAGATTACAAGTGGCCATGCTAACTCACATTACACAGGCATGGTTTCTTACAAACGAGATGCAGTAGTTGCTGTGCTTCATGCATGTGTAGCCTTGGCTAGCGGCCCTTTTAAGCCACTCAGCAGGATATTGCAACCTTGCTGCAGCTCATCTCTCCCTCCTTGCTGGTGAATGAGAGAGCACAGGTGTGAGGAGTAAGAAGGAAGTGCCCTCACTACAGGAGGAGGAGAGGACCTGTGTGGGTATTATTATTATACAGGATTTATATAGCGCCAACAGTTTGCTCAATGCTTTACAAAATAAAGGGAGACAATACAGCAACAATACTGTTCAATACAAGAAGGTTAGGAGCAGGGGCGGACTGACCATTTGGAAACTTGGGCACTGCCCGAGGGCCCAGGGTCAGTAGGGGGCCCCATGAGATGCCCCTGGTACCTTTTTCATAGGCTTTTTTGAGTTTGGGCAAAGACACAGGGGCCCCATGATCCCCTATTGCCCGGGGGCCCCATGAGTTGTCAGTCCACCCCTGGTTAGGAGGGCCCTGCTTCTTGGAGCTTACAATCTAAGTGGAAGGGGCTGGTGGTACAAAAGGTAATAACTGTGGGGGATGGACTGCTAGGAGGAATAGAAGATTCCATTATTAACTGAAGGCAGGATAGGCTTCTCTGAAGAGATAGGTTTTCAGAGATCGCCTAAAAGTGGGCAGAGTAGGTGATATTCTGATAGATTGAGGTAGAGAGTTCCAGAGGATGGCTCTGGAGAAGTCCTGGAGACGAGAACATGGGAGGAGGAGACAAGGGAGTTGGAGAGCAGGAGGTCATGGGAGGAGTGAAGAGGACGGTTTGGGAGATATTTGGAGACAAGGTTGGTGATGTAATTTGGGGCAGAGTTATAAATGGTTTTATATGTTATTGTTAATGTTTTGAAGTTTATTTGTTGAGCAATGGGAAGCCAGTGGAGGGATTGGCAGAGAGAGATGGCAGATATGGAACGGTTAGTAAGGTGGATGAGTCTGACAGCAGCATTCATGATAGACTGAAGAGGGGATAACCTGTGATTAGGTAGGCCAATGAGGAGGGAGTTACAATAGTCAAGGCGAGAGATAACTAAGGAGGGGTATGATATACTGTACATATGCAGACAAGTGGTGAGAAGCCTTTGGCCATCCCTGTGTGTATTGATCTTGCTGGCTCCTTCAAGGTCCTGTTTGCTGCCAATGGAGCTCTATAGCAGGGTTTTTCACTGGGGTGCCGCAAAGAGTCCTCTGGGGTGCTGCAGTAAAATGACACAAAGCCCTGTACAGTCTTTCACAACTTTCACTTTTGCAAAAGTGCAGTTAATAGCATAGAGGTGGAGAGAGCCAGGAGGAGGAACGGGATGAGGTCTTCCTTCTCTCTGTACACAGAACTTAACACAGTAACCCTTTCATGGTTGGACTGTACAGGGCTTTGTGTAATTGCTGTAACAAGGGAAAAAGGGGGTATTTGGGGGTGAGGGGGGTTTGTGCTAAAAGGGAGACCTTAGGAAAGGGGTTTTTTTTGGCTAGCAGGGGGGATTTGCACTCCAAGGTGAATTGCCTCAGGAGGGGAAATTTGTGTTAGATGGGCTTTTTTTTTTTGGGGGGGGGGGTCTGCTAGCAGGGGGGGATGGGGAGATTTACAACCTACTGACCATTTAGCTCTGCCTTACAAAACTACATTTAAGGCTTTTTCACATCAGGTGCAGTTCGGTAAAACGTGAAATCGCGCATTTTAGCACACCACACAAAAAATGTGTTGCCTTTTGCAGTTGTGCACAGATGCCTTTAATTCTTAATGGCACTCCAATGCACCCACCACTTACATGTATGTTTGCACCCACTTAAACAAATGGTTTTGCAGTACCATGTATTTTGGTAGGACTCAATTTAAATCATGCCAGCACCTTTTTTCACAAGCATAGAGCAGCCTAATAAAATCAAAACACGCAAAAAAGCTCTCTGGCTTAGACGCCCCCCAGACTAGTGTGTCCCAGAGTGGTGTGCAATTCTAAAGGGTTCCTTGACTGCAAAGAGGATGAAAAAAAACACTGCTCTATATAAAAGGGACTTCTTCCAACCAGGGGCGGACTGACCATTTGGAAACTCGGGTACTGCCCAAGGGCCCGGGGTCAGTAGGAGGCCCCATGAGATGCCCCTGGTACCTTTTTCATAAGCTTTTTTGAGTTTGGGCATAGACAAAGGGGCCCCATGATCCCCTATTGCCCGGGGGCCCCATGAGTTGTCAGTCCGCCCCTGCTTCCAACTTATATCTTCATTCTCCTTAGGATCGTGTGGGAGCATTTTTTTGCTAGTGGATTACAAATATCCCTGTCTTGAGGGTGAGCACTCCACTGCCAGGTTAAAGCGCCCCACCGCCAGCAGACTTTGTTTTTATTAACTCCACTGGCCAGGGCTAGATATGGCCTAAGCATTACAGAATGATCACAATGCTATTTACATTCTTTTACAAAACAGTGTTATAGTTCTTGCTGGTAGAGTTGTTCTTTCTCATTTGCTCTGTGCTTTGCATTTAGGTTATTCACAGGCAACGGGAATAAATACAATTTCTATTCACCTTACAATTTCTACCAAGACTCCTTTCTACTTATTGTAGGTGTGTTTGTATGTTGTTGGGTCTATATGCAAGACAAGTCATCATTGTAAAGCATAGGAAAACCCACACATCTCTGCAGCTCCTAAGGGAGCCATGGCTGCACATGTAGATGGCAAGTGACTATGAAGATGCTGCAGGAGATCAGCAGCACCAAGATAAATTTAAAGATAAAAGAAAAGGTTGAAGCAAGCATTTTCTTTGAAAAAAATTCACTTGTTTGTGGGGAGGTGCAGCGCGGTGAGAGCAGTAAACACATTAGTCCGGTTGCATTAAAACTTAAAACTTGAATTAAGCAGAATGCCAACATTACAAACAGCCTAGTGGGAGAGCGCTGCTTAGGGAAATACGTTTCAGTTCAAAGTAGTCACAGTTGGGGCTGAGGAGAGGTGACGACAGCATCTGTTTTGAGGCAGAGATACGGCCTGGTCAGTCCAGTCCCAAGATGGGAGACTTCTGACATTTAGCGAGTCCCTAACCTTTACCTCCTTGTCAGGAACCTCTCCCTACCGCTAGTTGCTGTCCCTGACAAGCGGGCAGGGGCTTAAATAGACCTTGCTGACTCAAGATGGTTGCCAGTGGTCACATAGCCACAGTGTAGCCAGCTGGAATACTGCTCTGTTTGACCCGCTAAGCCAGAGAGAACTTATGTTTCCCTCGGACCTCCTCTCCAGGCTGTGGTACCACTCAGGTTGAGCACCATCTACAGTGGAGAAAACAGACTGTACCTGCCTAAATTTTTATGATGCACAGTGTGTTGCATAATAAATGCCATTCAGCTAGGGTTTACATGTGCCTGAAGGTGACCATAGCATTGATTTGTGTAAAGAGCAGAAGAAGGTGGTTATTGAAAGAAAAATGCAAACTTGTCTATAAACATTTTGATGGTCTAAGCTAGACACTCTTGTCCACAAGTGCTATGACCAAACATAATCACACCATCATCGCCTTTATTATCTGTTAGTGCAGTGGTATTCATATGTCTGCCCAAGCCCTTACATAAATCGCATGTATTGTGAATTGTTATTTACCCATGTGTCTTATTTTTTTGGAATGCATTGTTTGGCAGAAAATGTAACGCTCCACCAAGTATTGGCTCTGTGACAGCATCTAAAACCTCCCTGACACTATCTAGCCTGTGTGTGTTCATAAAACTAATCATTGCATATGGATTATCTTTGTTTCCCACAGTTCTGTTTTGAAGAATAACACTGGAATTAGCCCAAAATTGTATGTATGTTTGCATGACTATGCTGTATATAAATGCAAGTACTTTGCAGTAAAAATGTTTCTGCCTTCTAAGATCTCCCGAGGTCTTCAAAATGCAGGAAAAATACTTGGCATACGGGTCATGATGACAAATCTCTAAAGAGATGGTATGCTTGCTATATGTAAACCACCATCTAATGGCTAAAGTGCTTATTCAAAGTTGTAGGGAACCAAGAGATTCATCATTCATTTCTTTTTCTATGACCTGGACCTAGCACACAAAGGCTGGCCATAGATGGATAGAATTTCAAACAAAAGTTCTTAGGAAAAGTCTTAGGAAAATTTGTACAAAAATTCCGAGAACATTCTCAGAACATTCACATGTTGTTCGAAACACTTTGTTTGCTTTTGATTTTGATTTTGGGATGAATGGACTTTACCAAACAAAAACCACATGCACTGTTAGAATTTTTTTTTTTTCATATTTTCGCGTCACTGAGGTTGAAAATGAATTTTTGATTTGACCCAATAATTATTTAAAAAAGCACAAACTTTCTTAGGGCTCTTTCACATAGTTGTTGAATTCTATAGCATCCTTAATGCTTGTTAACACACCTATAGCATTAATGAGTGTTTTGGTTGTGTTGCAAAGGCATTCATGCTGTGTCAGGAAATGTTCCTCAAACACCCTGTATGATGTGTTTTTTTTTTAATTTGTACAAGCCTAAAATAGGAATTGATCACTTTTGATGTTTTGCAACCACACCTTGAATGCACTATAAATGCCACAGATGTGTTTACAGTGCGTTTAAAGTGCGCTAGTGGTGCATTTCAATAGAAATGAATGGAGGCAGTTGCAGAGCATCAACACCTTCCAAAATTTGCAGGCATCTTTAATATTGCCTTGGCGTTACACAAGTAAACATGCACACTGCAGTGTGAACACCTCCATTTGCTCCTTATTTTAACAATTTTGAGTGGAGTTGATAAGGGGTCATGAAGTGGTAAAAACACAACCCAACCACCTATTTCCAATGCCTGTGTGAAACCTTAGAACCTTCTTTTCCTAATAATTTTTGTTGGTGTTTCTAACCATCTATGGCCAGCTCAAGTCATGTTCCACATTTGAATTTTTCTGCATCTCAATGACTATGAGCCTAAAAAGTAGTGTGTATTTACTCCAACGGGGAAGTTGTGTCTCTGAAATTGCAGTGTGCAATGAAAGTGCAGCTAAAGTCAGTACCCCTGTCTGTTTTTTTCTTTTTTTTTCTGTCTGTGCTCTGTCGAGGAAATTTTTCTTCACTTTCTATCCAAGAGATACAACAGGAACTTTTTTAGACATTTGTAACTGGAACAAATGTCCCTATTGGACGATTTTTCTTGATCCTTTTCTAGAGAGAAATTTGGGATTTTCTGCTGTTTAAGTCCCAGTGCCAATATTTATCCAAAGGAATACAGTGAATGAATCTCACCAGTAGGGATGCAGTCTATTCTGTCCCCTCCCTATTATACAATACAAAATATAAGATAACACACAAGTACAGTTTATATCTGTTTGGTCAGCACTGATAGTGTCAAAAAAGTCACCAGTGGTAGCCATATTACTATAATGACAGGTTCTCTTTAATTCAAGAGCTACATTCAGCTCCCATTGCACACTTCCATTTTGTTTTTGAGGAAAAGTATAATTGTAAGATGTTATTTTTCTGTTATATATCTATAATATAAGGGAAACATATTTTTTTGTACACCCTTGTGAAAACTGTGTACCCATGTCTACTTTTAACAACCCAGTAGGCTTAATAAGTTTTAAATGCCCATGATAAGAATGAAACAATGCCTACATAGAAATATGAGGAAAAAATTACACCCATTTAATACATCTAGACTGATGAATGATATGATGGCTGGCTATTCACGCTGGAAATTTTACACATGATTGAAGCTTTATTTAGTCTAATGAAATATGCTTCCTGAATATTGCATCGCAGTAGCTGCGTGACCTGGAGCACAATAGAAACAATTATGTGATTACACTGAGATCATTCTCATTTTAAGTCATTCTGATATCATTTTAATTGTTTTAATTAACAGCATCAAGTGAAATGTTCAATGTCTCCCCATTTTAAAGTGACCTTTGCTTGTCCAAATATGCTACATAAGTGATATTGGTGGAGTAAATTGCATACTTTATGACTGCATACATTATTACTTAGTACTAACAATTATGAGTTTCGATGGTTTTATTATCAAAGGGCAAAGGCTAGGTTACAAGGCAAACATTGCTTGCAAAAAAGAGAAAAACAGCTATAAACAGTAGTCTGGGGGCTTCTGTAAAAATGTCATCAACTTATGTGTATCAAGATATAACAAAAAACCATGTCAATAGCTTTGACCATCATCATCTTGGTGCTTATATGAGTGCAGGACTACCAAAATGTGGTGTGACTGTTCAGGCACAGAAGTGCAGGACAAGGTGCGTATTTGGTGGGGTGATTTAATTTTTTAGAGGGTTAGATTACTGGTGTGATGAGCTAAGGTGGTTTGTTTAAATGATAAGTTCAACTTTTAACCAAAAATAATAAATGCACATTTTTTGCAGGTAAAAAATGTGCATTTATTTTTTTTTGTTTTTGGAGCCTCTAAAGCATTGCGCCAGTGATTAGCAGATTGCTGGTGCCATTCAGAGCTCCCCCTGACCTGTCAGTATATCTGCTTGCCTGTACATCCCGTACGAGCAAGCAGACACTACTGACAGGAGGGCTCAATGATCTACAACATAGTTCATTGAAAACTACAAGCTGACAGCCACAAAGGCTGCTGAGACTTGTAGTTTTTCCATTCACAGAATGCTTTGAATGAATGGTGTGGCCAAGTGGGTGGAGCTCCTCACAGCCACGTTTTTTTAAAACTTGTGACAGCTAGTGGGGAGAAGATCCCCGCCACTAGCAGCAGGCATGTGGGTGCTGGGGGGGGCGGTCAGATCGTAACATGTTACATGTTACACCCTGAATATGGGTGTAATGTGTAACATGTTACTAAAGGTGAATTTAACCTTTAAATTCAGGGTTAATGTTGGGGTTGGGTTTTTAAGGGGCTATATTTTTTTCCTTTTGAGGTTTGAGTGGAGTAGAGAAGGGTTAAGGCTTTTATCAGGTTTTATCCCTGAGCCCAGAAACTATTTGGCCTTCTTCCAATACTGCATCCTGGTGCCATCTCTTCCCAGGTAAGTGACACACATGCACTCATCCATCCATATGATGTAAAAGAAAATGTGATTTATCAAACCAGCCACCTTCTTCCATTGCTCCTTGGTCCACTTCTGATGCTCACATGCCCACTATAGGTCTTTTTGGCTGTGAACATGGGTCAACATGAGCACAGCCCCATGCACAGGAAACTGTTTTCAACACATCAGCTTTATGGATAAACATGTTTAATTG